CTAAAACCACATATGAAATTGAAGGCAGAAACCTAGTGTGGAATTGCAGTAGTGTTTCCTTTTTAAGGTCATAGGACACTTTTGACAAATGACTCTAAATTGAACTGGTGAATTGCAAATTACAAATGAATAACTAAATATTTTCAAAATAGTACTTTCGGTGTCTAGTTCGACAATGAAAGAGAACTAAACAGGTCAAAAAAATAAATGTTAAATAAATGTTACATGTTACATTTGCTTTAATTTGGGAACTGCATACATTCTGATTGCTATGACCGATTTTATTAATTTCTGTTTCAAGTTTTGTCGAGTCCAATGTTTTTTTATCAGTCTATGTTTTTGCAAAAGTTAATCATTTTATACAAACTTCCTACAAAGTGGAAAACGAAGCAATGTGTAATATTTTGAACGTTTGTACATGCTCCCAGCTGAGCCAAAAAACTTTTTCGGAGTTCAACGTCAAAGGCATAAGTGACCCTGATAATACTTTGAATTAATTAAAGTTCATTTTAAACTAAATTGAAATCATACTCGCGTCATTGTAATGTAACTCTTTATTCTGAATTTTTGTTTTTAGTCGACTATCAACATGAGCTCTAGATTTTGAAAATTAGTCCAAGAGGAAAATGTTATCCCTGCAGGATCAAAAAGCTGAGTTTTTTGCATCACCCTGTAACTAAAAAAAATTTTGGAAAACTTCAAAAATTAGTTACCTATGTGATCTATCCGTGCCCTTGATGTTGAAATTCAAAATTACTTTTGTTTCCTTAATTGGGAGCATATACTGATGTACCTCAAAGTACTGATGTTTTGTAAAAAGACGTAGTGAGAGAAACAGAATTGGGCCAGACAACGTTTCAAACAGACATTAAATCCAAAGGTTCCAAAGTTATGGAAAATTTTACAGTGTAACGATTATTTTGTTGATCCGTTTATAAAAAAAATATCTTGAGGTGCGATAATGATGCAATATCAATAAACAATTTAAATAACATTTACAAGTAGCATAGTTCTGGGATACCGCACAGTTTTAATCACAGATTAGTTGTGGATGGCATAGTAAAAAATGCAATATTTAAACATGTATGCATAACATGGTGTATTGCACAAGTTATTTCTAAGGCACAAAAATCTTCGTTCATATGATTTGAATAGTTTATTTGCTTCCCATTTATACGGCGTTGTTGCCATTCCGCGGAGGCGCCAAAGAGTCGTACGTATCACAAAAACTGTGTATATATATCCGGAGGCCACAGCGTGCCCCCTTCATAAATTTTGTACGCCACCAGTGGCCGTGGTATAGACGCCAACTAATTCGTTTTTTGGATGTTACGGAGGCTACCATGTCACCTCAGATCGAAATGTTGTTTTATGAGCTCTTATTGATACCTGACGCCAGATTCGATGAAAATCAGTCTCTTCAATATCTATTTTGGAGGCGGCA